AGCATCATTGACGCTATGAACAAAACCCTTCCTGGTTCCCATGCTCTGTTTATTTGCCCCCTGCCTGGGTCATCTCCTTCTGTCCTGCACCTGTCTTCATCAGTCTGGATTTCATATTCCTTATTCTGCTGCTTTTTGAAGAATTATCAACTCTGTCTGTGTCTAGGCTTGCCTGATTTTGATATATCTTGAGTGCATCCTCCAGGGACTCTCCTGATACTCAGTGTGGTGGCGCTGAGCCAGGGATTCTGTGGCCGAGGGTGATTCTGGTATCACAGCCCAGCCCGGGGAGGCGATGGTCATCTCCCAGGGTAAGTTCTCCCAAGAACATGCTGTTCTAAAAATAGCAAGATCGGTCCCCTGCCCCATCTCTGTCTTCCTGTCTTGCCATGGAGTCCCTGGCACTGGAACATGTTCTGACCGATGCCACCCACTGTGTAGAGACAGCACCAAAGGGGCTCTCACCAGAGGACAGACAGACAGAACACTGATTTCGGACTTTCAGCCTCCAAAACTGCCATGAGTACCCTATACCTGGTACCCCGTACCCCTTTTTAAACAAAGTGCCAACTTCAGGCATTTGTTGTAGCAAAAAGTCCTTATCAGTATACTGTTTACCTTTGGATTTGAGCTTTAGATTTTGATTCCGAACAGAAAGGTCTATATACGCCTACAGATAATTGTCATAGTCTCAGAAGACAGAGTTCCAGGACCTAGATTAAAGCAGGCAGAGCAGGAAAGGGTGAATACAGCTATTTCAAAGTAGAATTGCTGAAACTAAGTGACTATTCAAAAGAAATGAATTTTATAAAATCAGATTTTCTTTAGAAATTGGTACTGTAAGCTGGGTGAGGTGGCTCACACCTTTAATCCCAACACTGGGGAGACAGAGGCAGGTGGATCTCTGTGAGTTCAAGGCCAGCCTGGGCTACAGGGTGAGCTCCAGGAAAGGCTCCAAAGCTATACAAAGAGAAAAAAAGAAAAGAAAGAAATTGGCACTGTATAACATTTCTAATATTAGAAATATTAAGATCTTGTTTTATTTATTGGCATATTTTGTGTTTTGACAGTTGCGTTCACGGTTCCCTGGGTTTGGGGGAATGAAAAGAGCAAAGTCATGGGCTTTTCCCCTGTGAAGCCCATTTTGTGCCTTTAAAGACAAGTAAAGAAGGCGATGTCTGCTCTGCGGTGGCTTTTGGGGTGTGGTATCTTATGACCCAACTGTGTAGCTTATGTGCAGATCCTGGTTGTTTAGCTCTAAGATAAGTCTTTCTCTCCAGGCCACAATATATTGAATTTGCCTTTTGAATTTCACCACACCCAGCTTTGTTTTTCAATACAAATCTCATGGTCTTTTTTGCAGACCGTCTATACACTATCACTGTTATTTTCAGAGCAAGTTCTCGGAAAAGCCCGACAATTTGGGCGATATTTACAAACTGTAGTTAGTTAATTTAAGGTTGTCTACACTAAGAGAGTTTTTAACTTTAAAATAATAGGTTGATTTAGCCAATTTTATTGAGACTAAAGTAATTAACTTGTAATTTGTGGTTGGCTCAAAAGAGTCACCCACTGGAAGGAGTATGATCTGGGTACTGCCCAAGCCCTCACACCAAATCTGATTGGGTGATTTGAGCAAAATAAAATGGTTTGGAAGAGGTAGTTTCCATCCAGAAAGCCATTTGTACCATACCAATTAGCCTTGCAAACCAGTTGGACTTGCTGGGTCAGAAAGCAGCCATGCAACAGGACTTAAAAAAATATAAAATGATCTCTTATGAAATGCCAGTGGAATATAATAATTGCCCTATTAGATCGACTTTAGAGAGCCAATATCTTCCCATGTTCCTCATAATTTAAACAACTCCTCTAGTAAAAGCTGGTTATTCACTAAAGTTACAGACTGGAAAACCCAGCCATTGGAGATAAAATGCCTTAGATAAATTAGCAGTGTTCACCAGTGGTGACATTCCAGTAGATCCCAGTGGTTCTGCATGCCAGTACTTGGCTGTGGGCCCCTTCGCCTTTCCAATTCAATTAGAGTAACATTCATTTAGTCCCATTCTGTAGAAATGCTGTGCTAGGCATCCTGTTGGTGCCAGACTGCCTTCCCAGTGGGCCGGGCAGCATGGGAGGATCCCAACAGTTCGTAGCAGGGTTTCCAGCATCGCTGTGATGGGAAGATATCATTTGTCTTCCGAATAGTTAAACTGGGAGGAGGAGGATATGGCTCACTCTGAACGGAGAACATCCATTGCCCTGTCTTCTCCAGTGGAAACTTAGACGAACGTGCAGCCAAGGGCAGGGAAGGAGTTGGTGTTTGGGGGGAGTTTCACAGGTAAAGTCTTCAAATCTATTTGACGTGATAAACAAAAACCTGTAACTGAATCTTAACAAGACATGAAGCATTCAGAGTTTAGAGGCCACGTCCATGGGCTGAAACAGTTTTTTTTTTTTTTGTTTTGTTTTTTTCTGCATCCGAATATGTGTACCAATTATTCCTGGAGCTTTCCTTCCTAAGCAGAAGGGAAATTTCTCTGACCGGAACAAGCTCATTTCTATCTGTACTTTAAAAATGTATAGTCTGGCACAAAGGCTTACGTCTGTACTCTCACCCTTGGGACTGAGGCAGGACAATTGCCATGAATTCAAGGCCAGCCTAGGTTACACAATGAGAGGTCATGTCTTGAAAAACAAACAAAACATTGTTTGCATCTCTTGATGGCTGCTGATGGAAATGGGGGCAGGGAAGTCAGGAAGCAGCTAGAAAAGCCGGCAAAAGGATTTTTCAAAATCCCTCTTATTTAAATGTTTAAATTGTAACAGAAATCCACTTATGAGTTCTGACCTGTTTTCGGTACTGGAAGGTAACACAGGTACAGTTAAAGCTTCAAGCCTAGTTGTTGGGTGCTCTGTCCAGAGAGACGCTTTCAGGAGCTCAGGCACTATTGACCTTGTAAGAATCACCCTGGCTGTGTGCACTCATTTATGTGACAGCTGTTAAGGCTGTGATGTCTAGATCAGGCTACCACAAACACAAGCCCAGTGGAACTTCTCAACACCCAAGGCCTTGAAAACACGCTTGGCCGGGAGGGGAGAGTAGGCGCTTACATTTCGTGGTGCTTCCCCCACCCTCTTCTTTTCTTTTCATTCTCTCCCCACCCCCAATCTTCCATCTTAGGCGATTCATGGAGACAGTCTCACTATATAGCTGAACCTCAAACTCATAGACATCCTCCTGCCTCACTCTCCCAAGCCCTGGGATTGCCTTGTGAACTATCTGGGCGTGGAGGCACAGCTGTTTCTAAGCCCGTTCACCCCATTGAAAACATGAAGCTTTGATTTATTTTTTCCTTCTAATGATCTTTTGGCTGCTACTCCATAGATCAGGTCACAGCACTACATTTTGAAACTAGAAACCTTAAAGCAAAAGAGGAGGACATTTGGTGTTTTTCTGTCTGGGGTCCCTCTGTGTGAGACCATCTACACTCCTTCTTTGAACCCAAGTATGCCTAGGCAGGGCCCTGTTTACCTGTGAACTACGAAAACCATCTCACCATGGCTTAGCAGTCAGGTATCCGAAACAGAGGAGCTTCACTGATGTCACTGAAGGGAGGGGCGTGGCTCAGGAAGGGAGAGGCGTTACCTGGGATCACCAGACAAAAACTGCGTCTCCACTCAGATCTGACCTCACCTCTTACCATCCGTTCCCCTGGTCACGAATGGAGTCTGTGGATTCTAAGTTGCTCGTGGGTCCTCACTCTTGGCCCTCAGCCTAGCTGTCCTCCCTACTCCATCAGACAACTGGAGTTTCTAGAATAAATGGAAACTTCAATCCATGGCTTGATGTCGAGTTCTAACGTTTAAACTTCTCTCTCAGACCAATCCCTTTTCAAAGGGAGCGATGCCCAGGTATTCCAGAAATTCCTATGTTTGTTTTCTCTTAACCCTGAAGGAAAGTGGTTTCTTTCTCTGTGGGATGAGGAAGATAATATGTAACTTATCGAATGTCTGTCGTATACCAGGCACTATCCTAGCACCTCATGTGCACTAACTTATTAAGTCTCATTTCGACCACACGATGTACATGATGTTATTATCCCCATCGTACAGATAGCGAATCCAAGGAATGGAACACAAATCTGTTTGCATATACACTTCCCCTTTCTATTAAAGAATGACAAAACAATCAATAAGCAAGACAAAAATTTACTTCTTTCTAATCAGACTTCATTGTTTACTCAATAAAAATAAAACACAATATGAAATAAGGAGAAAGTGTATCATCCTTCAGGATCCTAGCCTGGTGCTAAATGTATCACTGTGCGTGACCCTGTGTTCATGCACAGGGTCCTAAAATCCTGTGGAGATAAAAGAGAGGTGAAAACTGTGTCCACAAGGTGGCGCTCATCCTTCCCAACAAAGGGTACCGGCGGGAACCCTTTAGACTGTGTTCTCAGCACTGCTGGAAGACTCAGGTGCTAGACGGCCTTTAGTTTCCCAGGCCCAGAGCTTTTCACTGAGGCAAGTTGAGAAGAAAGATCTCCTCAAAGGGGCTGTACCTGTTCTGCTGAACGTGAGAACATGTTCGGGTGCCCAGGGCTCCGCTTCCAATCCAAACTTAACTGCAATTTTCTTCTGATCTCAGGTCTATCACTTACTAGTTGTATGACCTCAGGAAGGTCACCTAACCTTCCTACGGCCTCGGGTCCTCATCCATGAAATGGTGACAATCGTCAGACCCACCTCATTCTGCGTCACACACTCACAGAGGACGCCTTCGTGGCCTGTGAGGTAGCAACTTCTGTAGTGGGCTGTCACATACAGCTGTGATTTCTCTTGGCGCAGAGTGCACTGTTGAGGACAGCAACTTAGGTTCCTTCTTTGAACAAGTGTCTATGAGTTGGTAGCTGGTCGTGAGAGCCAGAGAGACTGGTGGTGTGTCTCCAGCCAGCTAGCTAGTCACGAGCCGAGGACCTAGGAGGGAAGACAACGACAGCAAAGTAAAAATTTTAAAGTAAATAATTAAAAAATTGCAAAGGAAGGCAAAGCAGGTGGTTCTGCCTGGTCGGGGGTCCCGGAAGGTGTCTGAGAGTTACAGCGAGGACCTCTGGTCGGGGGTCCCGGAAGGTGTCTGAGAGTTACAGCGAGGACCTCTGGTCGGGGGTCCCGGAAGGTGTCTGAGGGTGAGTTACAGTGAGGGCCTCTGGTCGGGGGTCCCGGAAGGTGTCTGAGGGTGAGTTACAGTGAGGGCCTCTGGTCGGGGGTCCCGGAAGGTGTCTGAGGGTGAGTTACAGTGAGGGCCTCTGGTCGGGGGTCCCGGAAGGTGTCTGAGGGTGAGTTACAGCGAGGGCCTCTGGTCGGGGGTCCCGGAAGGTGTCTAAGAGTTACAGTGAGGACCTCTGGTCGGGGTCCCCGGAAGGTGTCTGAGGGTTACAGTGAGGACCTCTGGTCGGGGGTCCCGGAAGGTGTCTAAGAGTTACAGCGAGGACCTCTGGTGCAAAGGAGGTGACTCCCAGCTGCAGGGGAAAGAAAAGATGCTTGCATAGGCCCTAGTGAGGGAAAGAAGCAGCTAAATTCAAACATCTGAGCAAAGCATGAGGTGAGGGGGCTGAGGGCTTAAGAGACCACTTACTGGATAGAAGGGTGCTTCAGAGGGCTTTAAACAGGGGTGGGGCATCACGTGATATAGTTCTAAGAAGACCAATTTTTAAAATGACTGAGAAGTGAAAAACAGAGACCTGTTCAATGCGGTAACACTTTGAAGGTAGACAGAGATCCAGCAGCCTCCCTCCCCAAGTCCATCTTCTTCAGTTCTCTAAAGGTGGGTAAGGCGTGAGCTGTCATACCTAAGCAGGCCAGTCAACATAAGGTCCTGCTTGTCATCAATGTGTAGGCTCAGGCCCACTGGCAAGGCCAGATGACAGGGTGTAAATTTTCCTGGAGACAAGTTCCTCTTCTGGCTGGCCCTGTGTCCCCAGCCTTTCCTTCTCCCAGTGTGAGATTCCTGGGGATATTTCTGTTTCTTGAGATCCATTGTTTCAAGAGTCTGATAGTCGAGGGAGAGGCTCACGTATCTGTTCAAACTGTTTTCCTTCCTGCCCAGACGGTTGCGTTTCCCCGCTCAGAAGTTGAGGAAGCATCATGAGAAGTGAACTGAAGAAGTGAGATGGCATTGGAAACACTGCTCAGGAGCTCTGTATTATTTCAGCCCCAGAAGGAGCGTGGGAGTAAACCAATGGCAGGAAACGGATGGATGTAAGAGGCTCGGAAGACCCGTAGACTAGACAGGCTTGGTAGACCAGATGTCTGAAGGGCAGAGTCAAGGTTTAAACAGGAGGGTTGATGGTGTTGTCATCCCCCGAGACAGACTCTTGTACACGTAGCAGTTTGGGAGTGAGGTTCGTGTCTAGGTGAGTTTTCCATTCGAGGGGAACAGTTGAGTCCAGGCTGTGCCTTTCTCTATACATACTGTATAAAACGGTGGTTTCCCAGGCTATCTCTTGCCCTCAGAAAGTCCATCTTACAAATAGCTTTTGACCCCATTTTGAGGGGAAAAGACAACTGTAGCCCTTGGGTGGTCCCACAGACCTCACCATCTGTCCGGCAGCACCCATGCAGCACAAGCTAATAACTGCCTCATTCCCGGCAACAGAAAGGGTGAATTGAGAATGGACGGGTGAGGGAGTACTTGACTGGGTGCTGGGAATCGAACCCAGGTCCTCTGCTAGAGCAGCGGATACTCTTAACCACTGTCATATCAGGGAGGCCAGGCCAAAGAACTCATCAGTCACACCAGGCCAAGGAAAGGCCACAACTTCCCCTTGCCGCCATAACATGGTGGGCGCCTAGCACTACGGTGGCATGGTGCCACTGACCTGACACCCATGGTATGTCAAGGATGGAGAGGCAGAGAGCTCTCAACGGCCCTGCAGTTTCAGCTTGGCTAGGTCCTATCTGGATCTGCACCAGGTGTTTTTTTTTTTTTACTTCACATCTGGACGCCACGCTGGAGCCTTTCTTTCAGCGTAGACCCCTGCAGCAGCCGGTCTGGGGCTGTCATCTCAGTTGCACAGTCTCCATTAACATTTACATCAACCCACTTCTGAAACCTTCTGCACTCTGTCACAGCCTCTTAGGTCACACTCATTGGCAAACCACACATATTGTACACGTAAAGGGATGTGTTTAGTGTGTGATGCGAGAGTTACTCTTCAGTAATTAAGATTTGAAGAACCCATTTTTGCCTCTGCCAGATTACCAATGTAGGCGAGACGGTCTGGCAAATACCACCCTTGAAAACACTGGACCTTGTGAACTTATTCAGTAAACTTGGTTGTGGAAAGACACAGCCATGTTCATCTATGCTTCTGGCCTGGTGCACTCGGGGCAGGAATTGTTTTAGTAGGAGGTGTTGGCTCAGTGGTTAAGAGTACCCGCTGCTCTTGCACAGGGCCTGGGTTCGATTCCCAGCACCCACATGGCAGCTCATCACCCTCTGGAATCTGCCACCTTCTTCTGATCTCCATTAGCATCAGGCACACATATGCTGGACAGATATTCATACAGGTAAACATCGGTACACAGAAAAATAGAATGAAGGAGGAGAAAGAAAGGAAGGAAAGATGGCGGGCAGTGGTGGTGCACGCCTTTATTCCCAGCATTTGGGAGGCAGATGCAGGTGGATCTCTGTGAGTTCGAGGCTAGCCTGGTCTACAGGGTGAGTTCCGGGATAGTCAGAGTTGTTACACAGAGAAACCCTGTCTAGAAAAAAAAAGAAGGAATGAATGGAGGAAGGAAGGAAGTTGTCAGTTCTAATAGGGGCTGGAGAGATGGCTCAGTGCTAAATTCATCTACTTTCTCCCTTGCTAGATATTGTGATGGGAACGAGGACAGTGGAAGGAGGTGGGTATGGGGTAGCTAGAGTACCGGGGGATTCAGGCCTGCCTGGATGGCCCTGTTTTCCTGACAACAGCAGCCTGTTCGGTCCAGGAGCTTGAGCCTGGTTTCAGCTAGGCAGGAAAGGCCCCCTTCTCTGCTTGGGGCTGTCCGGCTGTGCCTGTGGGTTGTCCAATGGCAGCGGGCAGCAGTTCCAAGGACTGCAGTTGTACCCAGGCTTCTCCACTCTTGGCTGCAGCTGCAGAGCTCAGGGGCAATTGTGGGGCCCTTCGGGCAGCTGGGACCCACTGGAGAGGGGACTCCTGCCACTATCAGTGATTAGACACACCAAGAATGACAGTGTTCATATTTACATCCACAGGTATAAAATGCGTCGCGTCTTGCATTCTGGCACCGATAGAGAATATAAAAACGTAAAAGAGACAGCAACACAGCACAGAGGTTTGCGACCACAGTCTGAGGGCTGTGCCAGGGGAGGATGGCGTCACTTCCATGTCATGGAAGCATAATTCCTGCTGGTCTCTTCTCCTGCCTGACCATTATGCAAACGAGTTGCATCCAGCCCTTCAGGCAGCAGTGGCCTCCTCGCTTTCCTGAGGGCTATTGTCAGATTGGCTGACACTGGCTTTTCTCTCCCATGTGTCCCCCCAGGAGCTGAGTCAGTCCACACCAGCCCATAGCACCCTCTGAGCGGCTTGAATGTTCACACAAGCAGTTGGCGGCAAAAGAATTTTGTCCCTGTGTTTTCCTGTAATCTTTTGACCCTTCCTTGTTTTCAAGCCAGAATGTGGGCATCTATCGACTCAGAGAATAAACATGTGTCTTTCTGAGTCAAGCTCAAATGGATCAAACCTGCAGGTAATAAAGTGTTCTCAAGCAAAGTTAATGGTTTCATCGAACACACCATTATCCGGGAACAAGATTTCCCACCACAGAGGGTCCGTTGGTGGATCAAGAGCAGCAGGCTGTGCTGACTGTTACCGAGGACATCCAGAACATCGGCTGCCAGTTTGTTTCGGATGAGGACAACAGAAACCTCGGTGACCAGGGTGACTGTCCCTGGTCGCAGGCAGAGCCTGAGGAGGCTTCGAGATGCCCGAAGTAGCTAGAGAAGGTGGCTCTGGAGTCTGCCCTGATTCAGGAGGGCTGAGGCAGTATTCAGGAGGCAGAGGCAAGTGGATTTCTGTGAGTTCGAGGCCAGCCTGGTCTACAGAGTGAAGTCCAGGACAGCCAGAGCTACACAGAAAAACCCTGTCTCAAAATAAATAAATAAATAAATAAATAAATAAATAAATAAATAAATAAATAAATAATAAAAACCAAACAAACAATTGTTAATAAAAATAAAAGTCATGGAATTATATTACTTCCAGACTCCACACTTGTTCCTTTGACTTGGGAAAATATTTTTATGTCCCTCCCCTTTCCCAAATGTCTTAAAAGACCTGTATCAGGATGGGAAACATCTTCTGAGTCCTGAGGAGTTCTCCTTGGCTTGGAAGAGCTAACTGGAGCATGTGCTGAGAGGGGCCCTGAGGAGGATGCCTCAGAATGCTGTTTCCAAACATTCTATGCATACTTTCCTCATTTATAACTACTGCAGCCATGTGATAGACAACATGTAATTCTAGACAGCACTGTATCATGTTTTCTTCCCGCATGCTATAAAAGACACAAAACCGTCAGCTTTCAGAGAACAACTGCATGGTGCTCCCTGAATTTATTCCAAGGGTTTCTTAGAGTTTACTTCCAAAATAGAAAGAACGTAGGCCGCCGTATTAGCTTGAGGAAAAGTGTTATTCTGCTGTGAGGAAATAAGTTAATTATAAGGAAAGGGGGGGAAGGTCCACATCCTTGATTTATAATATTTCCCTTATGTCTTAGTTAGGGTTTGCTGTTGCTGTGGTGAGACACCATGACCACGGCAGCTTTCTTATAAAGAAAACATTTAATTGTGGTGGCTCTCTTACAGCGTCAGAGGTTATCACGGCAGGGAGCATGGCGGCGTGCAGGCAGAGGTGGTGCTGAGCTGAGAGGCCTACATCTTGACCTAGAGACAGAAGTAAGTCAACTGAGGGAAGCTTGAAAAAAAAGAGACCTCAAAGCCCGCCCCCACAGTGACACACTTTTCCAAAAAGGCCACACCTTCTAAGAGTGCCACTCCCTGTGAGCTTATGGGGGCCAAATACATTCAAACTACCACACCTTATTTTCCCCAAGATTCCTGTAACAGTATCCAAACACATCATGCAAGAAAACTCCTTCACCTACTGGGATCATTATCTGCTTTACCAATAAGAATTTGCATATAAGCTATGAACTTTTAAAACAATTTAATCATAGAGATAGGCAGTATCTGCTCAGAAGAACCTTCTGGATTAGAAACCAGAACCCTTCCATGGGAAAAAAAAATACTTTGAAAAATCTTCCCTTTGTGGAACTTTCTGCTGAACTTGAGACTGGGATTGCCTTTGAAGGAGAAAAGTGCGGTATGGGTGAAATGGAAGTGTGATGTACTCAGAGTGGCATGTAACACCTTCATTCCATCTGCTTAGCAGGTGCTTGTGAACTAATAGTGTTGGGCTCACACATGAGCTTGCTGGAGTCCAGCTCACAGGTAAGACCCTGATGCTCTGATCTTACTGAGTAGCCAGCAAGGGCCTCACTTTTCAAGTGTATCCACCAGTGCTGTGTAATCCACCGCCTTTCTCATTCACCAAGGAGACTGGATCCTACAGATCCAGGGCGTGCCGTGGAGCTAGCCATGTCTCTAATGGCTCCCCTAGTCGGGCCCACACAGAGCTGGTGACAACGGCAGAAGCCAATGGCCACCGAGGAGCCACCCCTGCTGGCCCCATTCCATGCTGTACAGGCGGAATACACATGGCTATGAGACCTTGAACTGTAACCCCAAGCCATGTGACAGAGGTATGACGGGACTGGAAACAGGAGCAACAGACTGCTCAATTAGAAGGGAGGTTAGCTCTTATGGGAGGAGTGTGTCTGGCAGTCTTTGAATTAAGCATCAGATGTCAAAAGCCATGGCCTAATTAAAAGAAGGCCTTGCCACAATGAATGGGTAGAGGGAAGCCCTCTGATCATTCCTACTGTGTCTATAGATGAAATGTCTAGGTGGTCAGGAAAGGCATAACCAAGTCAAATTAATATTGTACCAAACATTATTGAATATTCTTGCCTTTTAATTGAATATTCTTACATATCTTAGATTCCCAGAGTTACATAACATGAATTATTCATTATTACATAAGTTATCCTAGCTCAAAATAACAAACTTATCCCACAGTTTTTGAATATCGGTAATTAAGTAGTTTGTCTAGATGGTTCTCTCTGAGGGGTCTTTCAGAAGGCAAGTCCCAGGGGCAGAGTCAGGGGCGGTCAATGTTTTCAACATTTGATTCAGTGCTCGAGATGACTTATTTAAGTGGCTGCCAGCAGGAGGCTTCCGTTCCTCACCCCATGGACTCAGCGTGGCCCCGAGTGTCCTCATGACATGGAATCTGCCTTTCCCTGGAGCAAGTGACCCAATGGCGAGACAGATGCTGCAAAGCTTCCTCATCCGACTCTTAGGACACACCCTTTCTCCTACCAAACCCCATTCATTAGAAGGCGTGACTGACCCAAACGTGGATATGAGCTTTGTCTTTTGAAAGAACTGTTGGAGAATGTGTGGACATAGTTTAAACCCTCCCCATGCAGTATCTACCCAGGATGTCACAGTCAATGCTGGCTACGTGATTTGAGAAACCCATTGCAAAATAAAAATGCAAAACTCCTATGTAGGCATTGCTAAACATTTCAAGATAGTGACAGAATATTAAATCAAGTGTTGCCTGAAATCAGAAAGAGAGAGGCCAGACCCACTGTTTAATAACTGGTAATTCTTGGGAACAGCATTTAGTATCTCTGAACCTTAACTCTGTTCTCTAGTTATTTAAAATGGGCATGACTAATGAATTAAGTTTCCTATAAGTGGGGATGCTTCATTTCAGAGGAATGAATGGAGTCATTCCTGCATGTGGCTTTCTGTGGGCATTTAGTGACACTGACATTATAATGATCTTTGGTGTTCATGAAGAGTCGGGCAGAAACACATGACCAAGGCCGGCTATGTAGCTACTGATCATAAACATCTCGAAGCAGAAATAGCATGGCATGGTATCGGCAGCACCAATATTGCCCAGCATGGACTCATCCACTCAGGAGTGTGACACATGTTCTGTAAGTTACAGAAAGAATTGCTGAGAAGATGTATTCCTAAAATGGCATGTTTTAAAGTGCTCTACCACGCAGGCCAAGGGGCTCTGTTTTAAGGAAATCCATATAGAAAGATTAAGTTTTCGTTGGCTGTTTTAAGGAGAGGCACTCATTAGCACCCTTAGAAATTGTTGCCATGATCTAGTTTCTATTAATAACTCAGTGGATGAGACTGAATATTAAACAGAAACTTTCTCATAGCAATATTCTCTTTGGGCAGCTCAAAAAAAAAAAAGTTAAGAATAGTCCTTCATGAAGCCTTCATTTTAATAACTGCAAAATAACTTTATAAAGCACTATAGTGCCAAACTGACTTTTCATCTTTTTTCATTTTTTAATTGAAAGACTTTATGTGTGTTAGTGTATGTATGTGCACCCGGGAAGTCCGGAAGAGGGTGTTGGATCCCCTGGAACTGGAGTTAGAGACAGTTGTGAGCCTCCGTGTAGGTCCCGGGACCCCAACCCCAGCCCCGCAGAGCATCATCAGGGCCGTCCACCCAGCCCCCTTCCTGTCTGCTCACACAGCTGAGCAGGACCCTGGGAGGCAAACAGCAGCCAGCCGAGCAAGCGCCAAGTCCCAGCTACTTCCCGGGAGCGCGGTGGCTGGGGCTCCAGAGACCCCAGGCCCAGCTACTTCCCAGGAGCGCGGTGGCCCCCGTCAGGAGGGTCTAATCTGTGCGGAGCAACTGGCCTCCCAAAGCAGGCCTAGCTGCTGCTCATTCGTGGGGTGGACATCTCAACAGGAAGTGCTAGGAGGACAGAGCTATGGTCTTCTCACAAATGAACCAAGGCGGGAGAGCGGCCAGCAGACACCCCCCCCCCCCCCAGCTTTGCTCTTTACCTCTAGACGGGGTCCTTCCGAGCAATACTCTTCTACTTCCCAGGGAACTTCCTTGTGTGTTCCCAACCCAAAATTAGTTCCTTAATTTGAAACAGCTATAAACAAACATCACAGATGAAATCCTGGAGCTGGGCTCTCTTCTCCACTCCCCACCCTCACACACACATACACACACACACAGACACACACACATATATACACACACAGACACATACACACGTACACACACACAGACACACACAGATATACAGACACACACACAGACACACACAGATACTCAGACACACACACGTACACACACACAGACA